AGTGAGGGGGCCGAACGGTCATTCACTGTCCCTGGGTGCGTGGCTGAAGTGGGATTCCGCGGTGCGGATTCGTGTTGTTGTTGTTGTTGCTGTTGCTGTTGTTGTTGTTGTTGTTGTTGTTGTTGTTGTTGTTGTTGTTGTTGTTGTTGTTGTTGTTGTTTGTTGTTGTTGTTTGTTGTCGTCGTCCCACCCGCCACCCGCCCCGCGACCCACCGGCGACCCACCCCGCGACCCACCCGCGACCCACCCGCGACCCACCCGCGACCCACCCCGCGACCCACCCCGCGACCCACCCGCGACCCACCCCGCGACCCACCCGCGACCCACCCGCGACCCACCCGCGACCCACCCCGACCCACCCGCGACCCACCCCGCGACCCACCCGCGACCCACCCCGACCCACCCGCGACCACACCCGCGACCCACCCGCCCACCCCGACCCACCGACCCACCCGCGACCGCGACCCACCCGCGACCCCGCGACCCCGCGACCCACCCGCGACCCACCCGCGACCCACCCGCGACCCACCCGCGACCCACCCACCCCGCGACCCACCCGCGACCCACCTTCGACCCAAACCACGTTCAAGGTACAAACCAACATTTTCGGCGCCTGCGGCGGGCTTTTTTTGCATTCCTTCCAGGTGGAGAGCCCGCGACCCACCCCGCGACCAACTCGCGACCAACCCGCGACCCAAACCACGTTCAGGGTACAAACCACATTTTTCGGCGCCTGCGGCGGGCATCTTTTGCATTCGTTCTAGGTGGAGAGACCGCAGCCCACCCGCGACCACGTTCAGGGTACAAACCAATTTTTTCGGCGCCTGCGGCGGGCATCTTTTGCATTCGTTCCCGGTGGAGAACCCGCGGCCCACCAGCGACCCAAACCACGTTCAGTGTACAAACCAATTTTTGTCGGCGCCTGCGGCGGGCTCCTTTTGCAGGAGGACGAGGAGGAGGAGAAGGAGGAGGAGGAGGAGGAGGAGGGGGAGGAAGGGGACGACGACGACGACGACGACGACGTCGACGACGACAAAATGGAGGAGGGGGGAGGATCGGGAGGGGGGGAAGAGGAGGAGGACGACAAGGAGGAACATGACGACAATGGGAGGACGATGATGGAAGGACGAGGGGAGGAGAGGGAGGACGAGGAAGAAGAGGAGGAGGAGGACGGGTTGGAGGAGGAGGACGACGATGACGATGAGGACGAGGACGAGGACGAAGAAGAGGAGGAGGAGGCGGAGGAGGAGGAGGCGGAGGAGGAGGAGGAGGAGGAGGAAGAAGAGGAGGAGGGGGAGAAGGAGAGCGCCATCGACAGAGAAGGTGGGGGCCACGAGGTCCGCCGGCTTGACGACGCCCGCGTCGCCCGCGCCCGCCCCCTCACTCTTATCCGCAATTGCGGGGTGCCATATATTTATTTGTGTGTCCCAGGGCCCCTTCAGTTCTACCCTTGCCGTCGAGGTTTTTTTCCGGGCGGGCGGGGTGGGTGTGCCTGCGGCCTGGCCACTCTTGCCCCGCGCGCCGGAGGAGGCCCGAGGAGGGAGGAGGGGGCGGGAATCAAGCAGTGGCGAAGCGTCCTGGCGTGCCCATAGTCCTACCAAACAATGTTCTAAGAACCTTTTTGTGGTTCCCACGAAATGTTCTTAGAACATTTCTGGCGAAGTCTGTCTTGTTTTATCACATCTGGATTCTGTTCTAAGAACATTGTTTTTGTTCTTAGAACATTTCTGGGTTCTAAGCACGTTTCGTGGTAGGACTACAGGAATGCCGGGACGGTCGGTCCATGCTCAAGGGAAGGGAATGGTGCCGAGGGCATGCTGTCCAGGGAGGAAAAGGTTCCCATACCTCTACCCTTGGGCCGTGTTCCCCTTTGGGGCCTCCTGGGAGGCCCTCGTCGCCACCGCGGAATTCGCCTCGAGATTCTGGTCAGAACGCACCCCAGGGAGGAGGAGGAGGAGGAGGAGGAGGAGGAGGAGGAGGAGGAGGAGGAGGAGGAGGAGGAGGAGAGGCAGGAGGAGGAGGAGGAGGAGGAGGAGGAGGAGGAGGAGGAGGAGGAGGAGGAGGAGGAGGAGGAGGGGGGGAGGAGGGGTCTGGGGGGCAGCTGTATCGGTACCTTTTGGTTCCTTCGAGCTGCAGCTCCTGCCCCTCGTGCGCGGGAGGCACTGCCGCTGGCCCAGCAGCGGCCGCCTGTCGGCTCGGGGCCACATTCCACTTGCTGCCGGGCATCGTGCCCATGGCCCCCCGTACTCCAGATTTCGTAATAAAGGGAGGGGGGTCTCATTTCGGGGGCAGGCCATCTTGGAGGGCCTGGGGGGTCTGGGGGCGATGTTTTGGAGGGTTCTCCCACGAGGGGGGGTCTGAAATGGCTTGTCTTGGAGGGTCCAGACCCCCTCCCTTTTATTACGGGATCTGGAGTACCCACTCAGGGCGTGCAGATGGAGGAGGCTGGAGGAATCCAGCATGAGGACCGGGCCGGTGCAGGCGGGGGGGACCCCGCGAGGCGCCCGGCACCCGCCCGAGCGGCCGCGCGACGCGGGGCCGAGCGCTGGCGCTGCCCGGGCTTTGGCGCCGTGGGTCGCCAGAGGCGCCGCGCGGCGCCACGCGCGCGGCGGGCGAGCGTGTGCCTCTGTCGATAGGCCCTAGGCCTCCCACGTGGGGCCCGAGCATCCTTCCCTTTCGGCCCGTTGGCCGCTGTCGCTGCCCGCGTCCCGCTGGCAGAGTGTCGACACGGCCTCCCAAGGCCCCTGCATCCTTCTGTATCGTGCGTCCTCTTTGTGCGGGCTGGCTGCAGATGGGGTCGAAGGATCGCTCCGCATCGCCGATGCATCGACGATGCATCTCGACGTGGAGCTGGCACAGGTGCATCGCCGGCGCGTCAGCGCTGCGGCGCGACCCTCTGACCCCATCTGCTCGGACTCTGTCTGGGAGGCCACCGCAGGGGCACCGTCAGGGGGGGGGGACAGGCGCTCAAACTTCCGGCGGGATGTGTTTTTGCTTCAGTGTGGTTTGGTTGGTTGTTCCTTGAGCTCGTCCCCTGGGGGCCGCTGCTGAGCCCAGGACCATCGAACGTGGATCAGGGATAAACACCCCTCGAGTGGGGGATCGGCCACAGAACTGACGCGCTCCAAGGCTGATTTCCCCGCCGAGACCTGCATGAAGCGCGCCGAAGATTCGTGGATCTACGGGACGCCGTGCGTATTTTTGTTGTCCGTAGATCGGGCGAGGAAGCGTCAAGTCTGGAGCACAAGTCATTCTTCTGGCAGCCGATCCCCTGCCCGAGCCCCTGGGGGAGGGTGATGGACCGGCTTTCCACCACCACCACCGACACAAGTTGAAAGGGGGAGGGGGCCCTCCTCCTCCTTCTTCCTTCCTCCTCCTCCTTCCTCCCCCTTCCTCCTCCTTCCTCCTCCTTCCTCCTCCTTCCTCCTCCTTCCTCCTCCTTATGGTGGTGGTGGTGGAAAGCAAGCCCATCAAAGGTTAAATGGGGCCTGTCCCTCTACAGGGGGAATATTCAAAAATAGTCAAAAAACAGTCAGGGGACTACTTTTTGCACATCTTTCGATCCTTTGGTGGGGTACTTTTTTGAGTTTTTTTTATCTGTCGTGGGAAATCCCCCTGTAGGGGGGACACGCCCGACTTAAGTCTAAGGGCCGCCCACTGAGATCAGCACTTCGTCGGATGCCCGGGCTCGCCGGCCAGCCTGAGTATGCTAAGGCCCGGGCTCCGGGATAACCGGCCCATCAGAAGGGCGGCGCCCTGAGAGCAGCACTTCGTCGGATGCCCTGGCGCGTCGGCCAGCCCGCGGGGCGCCCGCTCGGCGGCCCTCTCCTCCCTGCCCTCGGGGCGCGCCCGCCGGCGGCTGCGCCTCGCCGAGTGCCCCTTCGGGGCCGCCCCGCCGCGGGCGGCCCCTCCTCCCGGGGGCGGACGAGAGGGGGGGGGCGACTGCACGCCGGGCGTTGAGAGTGGGTATTCGTGGGCTCCCAGATCCCAATCTGCTTCCAGCGCCCGCCTGCTTCAAGAGTTTGCACGCTTCTGCCGTGGTTCTGCTGTTCTCTGGGAGGGCCTGGACCCTTATCCACTTTAGCCGCGTTCCTACGTCATGTTTCTACCTACTTCTTCCGACCGTCGTGTAGAGTTAAGTCGGGGTGACGACCAGAGTCAAGTTCGAGGAGTATTCAAAATTAGTAAAACATAGCCTGGGGACTATGTTTGTCATTATTGTTCGACAGCTTTGAAGTATGTTAAGATATTTTTCATGTTTCGTCCAAAATCCGCCTGTAGGGGGAGGTGCCCGCTCTAAGACTAGAGGGTGGATCTCAAGGCGGGGGCCATGATATATACCCAGATCTCATGGCGCCCCTTATTATTTCAATACGTCCCCAGCCCCGTCCCCTGGGCCGCGCACGCGCCGCGGGCCATGATTTGCGCCCCCCCTCTTGGACACTCCCCTCTAGGCCGCCCCCGACCCTTAGGGAGCCGAGTTATATGGTAGGTTCGTGCGGCGATGGCGCGCCGGCGACGCCAGCGCAGGCGTTCAATGTTGAGTTCCGCACTTGTTGAACGGTCGGGGCCGCGATCGGTTCGAGGTTGAACGATCGAGGCGGTGTCGAAAGCCTTCGCGTGCGCCGACGCCGCACGAAGCCACCGTAGCCCGAGAGCGCGCGGCACCGTGAGGGGGAGGGGATCGGCGCCGGGTTGTGTGCTCCGACCACCGGTGGCCCACTCATTGCGGGTAGGCCGGGGCCCGATCGCCCACCCCGCCCAGAAGCGGTCGGTTTCGCCATCGGGGGCCCAGCGCCGATCTACCGGCGACGTAGCGCCGACTCACGCTCGATGATTCCCATTTCCCCTGTGTTTCTCCTCACGCTCGGCTCGGGCGGAGGAGGCGGATTCGTGGTTCGAGGCTTCCTCGGTTTTCTAGCGTCTGCGTTGTTTCTCGGCAGTTCTCCCCCTTCGGGGTGCTCCACAGCAGCTGTGCCTCGCCGAGAGCGCTCCGGGGGTGCCCGGATCGCCCCGAAACACCTCTGGAGGCCCGAGTTGCCACCCGAGATCCAGAACGAATGGGTCCCAGTACGGGAGAAGGGGCATCCAGATCGACATCAGTTCCTGTTGTTTTGAGCAGGGTTCGTTGCGAGTGTCGCCGCGGACGTTTTTCACTTCAGACGAAAGGTCCCCTGCCCAACAGCGGCTGCCGTGCGTTTTGCTCAACATTTGCGGTAGGCATCGTTCCTTATTGTTCGCTCCCATGTCCGGCGTGCCATAACTGGTCCCAAGGCCTCCGGCGTATCTCGAAGAAGGAGAGGCGGGATAGATATTTGAAGTGTTGGAGGTCCGCGCGGATTTGGCTGGTCGGCGCTGGTAAGAGGGCACTTGGCGCTTCTCAGGGAGTTTTGGGGTCGCTTTGGCGGTGCTTGCGGATTGTCTGAAGGGCTTATCAGGGCGGTGTTTCAGTGTTTTGGTGTGTCACAATCATGCTCCCGCTGCAGCGTGGGCCTGCTTTTTGGCTCGGCACTTAGATCCCATAGTTCAGACTTGCGCTGCCTCAGCGCGGGCCACACTTCTGGATTCGAGTCCTTCCTCATCGTTGTCGCCTCCTTCCTTTCCTCTCCTCCGCCCTCCCCCTGGTCCTCCTACTCCCGCTCCTTCCACTGTAGTTCCCGCTTCTGCTGTTCGTCCTCCTCCTCCTCCTCCTCCTCCTCCTTTCTCATTGTCCTCATTTTTCTCCTGCTGAGCTCCTCTGTCCAGTTGCGCATGGCACGATGTTTTTTTTTGGGGGGGGGAGCTTCAGGTTTGCTATGACGCGCGTCCCTGGATGCATAGAGACAAGCCGGCGCCATGGAAAGACATGCGTGGGACGGGGTCGAGTGTTAGATGTGGCGCGAGCGCGCTTCTCTGAAGTCCCCTCGCCCTTCCTCTTCTTTCTCCTCGCTCCCCCTCTCCCTCCCCGTTCCTCTCGGCCCAGGGGCAGCGACGGGGTCTTCCACGCCTCTCGCGCATGGGGGGGGGGCCCCCCGGGCACGGGGGCTGAGTCCCTGGGTCCCGCAACAGCCACCGCCTGGACATGGCATCTCTCCTCGATCGAGGCCCGGCCCGGCGGCACTCCTGGCGTCCATCGGTGGAGCACACGCGCTTGGGGGAGCATGCCGACCTCCTCCTCCTCCTACTCCTCCTCCTCCTCCTCGTTCTCCTCCTCCTCCTCCTCCTCCTCCTCCTCCTCCTCCTCCTCATCCTCCTCGTCCTCTCCCCCCCCTTGGGGTCGTGCGCCGATCCCCTCGGGCGAGGGTGCCGTGGGGCCTCTGGCTGGCCAGCTTTTGGGGGGCCTCCGCACGCCCCTCCTGTGCAGATGCCCGTGCGCAGGCTCGCGGGAGGGCAGCACGGTGCTCGGTCTCCTCGGGGCGTGATCTGCCCCCCCCGTCTCGGTCTTGCCCTGGCTCTGCCGCTTCCTCCCGCCCCATTCGGGTCGGGCGAAAGGGGGGGATTGGGAAAGGGGGGGTTACGAAATTTGCTGCATGCAGCTGGTTTCGGCCTCGCCGAGGGGCCCATTCCTCGATACATAGCCGCCTCCGGCGCCGGGAGGCGCCGGGAAAGTCAGCTACGTGAGCTGATTCTCAAACCCCCCCTTTGCTATCCCACCCTTTCGCCCGACCCGACCTATCTCCCCTGTCCTCCTCCCTCGCTTCCTTCTTCCTCCCCCGCCCGCTGGCATGCCGCGCGCGTGCATGATCTGTGTTGAGTAACGTTTGGCGCGTTCCTCGGCAGGGGGGACATTCAAACATGAGCCAGAGACAGTCAGGGGACGATTTGTCTATTACTTCCCATTTGTTGTTATTGACTACTCAAACATGTCCTATCTTTCCTCCCAAATGCGCCTGTACGAGGGCATGCCCGACCTCAGTATGGCTCGCGCGCGCAGCCTTCTGACGCCCCCGAGATTGCATCCGTGCAATCCGGCACGGGCCCCGGGCTAGAGAAGGGTCGTTTCGCGGTCGCAGCGGGTTCTGGCGAATCTTGTCGTGATGAAAAAGCAATTGCCCCCCCCCAGACATCTGACGATATGATTTTTCCAATGCGCGGCCCCAGAGGTCTTGACCCCTTCCCCAGGGCCAGGTTCGCCCAGGATCCGTTTCTGGTGGTCTCGGGCACGAGAGAGGGCCCCAGAGGCCAAAGTCGAGGCAAAGTTCAGTGCTTGAAACAATCATGTCATCGTAAATTTGTGCCCCTTCCTCTTCCTCGTCCTCCCCCCTGCGACCCACGCGGCACACGCCCCCCGATGCTGAAACAAACTAGGCCTCCCAGACTGCGATCGTTTTCTGAATCGTTTTGCCGATCGGCGCGGGCCCTCGCCCTCCCCCCATGAGGTAGATCTTGGCTGTCTTTGGCGCCTGTCTCGAGCAGGTGGAGTCTCCCCTGTATGACGCACTTCTGCAAACAGAGTCGCGTGACGTGAGGAGAGGTCCGGAACCAGACCACCCCCCTCCCCCCCCTTTTCCGCCCGATGTCGGGAAAACGTTCGCATGGGGGAGGATCGCGGAGGAGGAGGAGGAGGATCGCGGAGGAGGATCGCGGAGGAGGAGCAGATTGGGTCGGAGGATCGCGCCGCATCGCCGACTCGTCGGCGGTGCGGCTCGAGGTGGGGCCCGAGTCCCTCCGCGTGGACCTCTCGCCGACGTTTCGCCGACGGCGCTGCGGCGCGACCAAGGGCGCCCTCGAGGGCGCGAAGTTATTCGCGCTTCGCGCTTCGCGGTTCGGCTCCGATTCCTCCTCATCCTCCTCTTCTCCCTTGGGAGGCGGCGCGAGAGCGCGAAGTTCTTCGCACTTCGCGCTTCGCGCAGCGCGAAGCGCGAAGTTGGGAGCCCTTGGCGACTCTCCCCGACCTCGGCCACAGGTGGTATGCTGGGGGACAGTGGAAGCCCATGCCAAGAGGTATCAGGAGGAAACAAAACACACAGACACAGTTAAGCGCCGATCCCCCAGACAATATATAGGAACATGGGGAAGTGGTGGGGAAGACACAAACTCAGAATATATATAGGAAAATATGGGGGATCTTTTTATTTGTGTGTATTTATTTGTGTGTCCCAGGGCCCCTTCAAAGTATACGGCTTGCCTCCAGGCCGCCCTGGGCGGCTTGCCTCCAGGGTGCCCTGGGTTTCCGGGGTTTCGATGGTTCTTCGCTGGAACGCGCGGCGGTCCCACACCAGACATCAGGGGACGTCCTGGGGTCTCAGGCTAGGGTTGCTTATACAGTATTTCTTGTGGTCGAGCTCCTGCTGTCAAGCCGCATCGTAAAGACGGGCAACCTTCCCAAGGGTGCCCTTGCATCCTTGCCTCCTCAGTCCATCCTTGGCCATGTTTGCTGGCCGCGCCCCGCTCGAAGTGCTTCGACATAGGCGTCCAAGGCCCTGGCATCCTCATCGCACATCCTTGTGATACGGGCCGGCTGCACTGTAGCACGAGGACTGTACTCTGAAGGCGGGCATGTCCCTCTACAGGAGGAACATTCAAAAATCGTCAAACATAGTCCGCGGATGATTTTTTGAGTTTCCTTTTGCATTTTGGCGAAATGTTGGACTATTTTCATTTCTCGTGCGAAATCCGGCTGCAGGGGGACATGCCCGACCTAATTGTACTCGAACCCTAGTGGGCCCCGGAAACGGCAGGGCCGTTTTTCACAGCAAAAAATGGAAACGGCAAAAAAACGGCGACTGGAAACGGCAACAAAAACGGCTCCAGAATTGGAACCGGCGCCGGAACCGGTCCAAGAACGGCGACAGAACCGGTAAAACAACAACAACGGCGTGAGCCACCTCGATCGCAGCAGTGACCGCGAAATGCCCCCACAATCTAGATAGAAGCACCCACACCACTGCAACATCGCTGTTCACGTCCTGAGCCATGTCCATGCACGTGTTTGCCAGAATCTGGTGTGTGTTCCAATTCGGTCCCTCTCGAAGCGGCCCTGTGATTCGCTCAACTGGGAGCGCAGGCGTGACCGTGTGTATGAAAGGCCGAATCTTCTGCCCGTGGTCTAAAAGTTTGAGCAACACTGGTCGATGTGGACGCTTGCACCAACGCATGTCGGCTTCCACGCCTTGAAAACCTCGCAAAGCGGCATCATTCAGCGCAAAGTAGTCGATGGTCGACACTCCTGTGCCTCCTCGGCATGTTGCCTGCTTCGGTACTGCCATTGTGACATTGGCCAACCTCGGGAACCCTGAGCTCTCAAGTTGCGTCACAGACATATTCCAGTCCGCCCCAGCAATCACGGGCGCTGATATCTGAGCAAATAGGATACCCATGCGAGGGAGAATGTCGCTGTTGACCCCCGTCACGCCGATGCCGTCCTTAAGGTACGCATTTATCACGTGCAGCGGTGGCCAGCCTGGCATATCGATGAGCACATGCTGGCATCGATGAGGGAAAACCACGTGATCATGGTAGACAGGTGCCCTGAGCCCAAGATCGCTGCGAACCAAAACGGCAACACCCGCGGAGCAGGCCTTGCGAACTGTGCTTGCTCGACTAAGACGACTGGGAACTGCCATCATCTTCCATCCTCGAGCATGCGTCCATGAGAACAAAGATTCCAAATCGCCTTCACAAAATCCTATTTCCTGCAGCAGCAGGATGTGTGCAGATGGCTTCTGAATCTTCTCTTTCACCGTCTGCTTGCCACCATTTCCGTTGAAGCACTCGACGACGTAGTTACCAAGAGCCTGAGCAGGAGGGGGCAGCTTCGTCATTCCCTGGGCGATCGGTAGTCCAGAGACCCGAATAGGTGCATACCCTTGCTGCCCTAGCTCCAACGTCCATCGCGTAGGGGCATCAGGAACAACGTTGTTTCTTAGCAAGCTCTTTGTGTATTCCTTGAAAGCTGGAGAAATCGTTGGCCTTGCCATGCTCGAAGAGATCCTTGAGCTCTGTCTCAGAGAGCTCGTCACAGGTCCTCTTGGAGGTGGAGTCGGGTGCGCGGTCACTACGAGATCCAGGAGGCACTTCATCAGTATCAGCGGGATTAGCAGCAGCGCCCTTCTGTGAAGCGAAAACGCCTGCCTTGATCTTCTGCATGATGACCTCCTTGAGCGTTGACCACATCTCGGAGTCGAGGAAGGTCTTGAGCTCTTCTGCCTGAACATCATCTGCGGAGACGGAGATGCCGAACTCAGTCTCCATGGCTGCATCAGCCCCTTTGTCGGCTGCAATCGCGGCTGCCGACTGCTTGTGCTCGGCCTCAAGCGCTGTGACCTCCGCCTGCTTCGCAGCCAGGTGTGTCCTGCGCGCCTCGACCGACTCTTGTAGCTCTTTGAGTTGCTTCTCCTTATCAGCAAGCCCTTATTGAAGGTGGTCCCTTTGAATCTTGGCCTTGTGCAAGTCCTGAGCGACCCTACGGTAGGCGATCTCAGGCGTGCGCAGAGCCTTCTGCCGCTCCTTGATCTCGCGCACCTTCTCCATGGTGACCTGCCTGACTGGATCGTCTGCATCATTGCCAGGAAGGTTCTTGAGCATGCTTTCATACGTGGCAAGCTGTGCCGCCAGCTTCTCACGCTTGGTTTTGTCATCATCATCATCATCCGAGATCGGTTCCTTGTTGACTGCCGCTGGCGGCGGTGCAGCAGTCCAAGGCGGCGGCTTGGCTGGATTCGGGCTGCTGCCCCCAATGGTGAGGGACCGCAGCAACTTCTCCAACTCCGCCAACTTCCTGGATGTCGTATCATTCTTGTCATACGTATCTTTCTTGTTGCCCTTTTGCGGGGAGCTCTCGCCGTTGACAATCGCGTTGTGATGGTCCCAGGCCAGCTTCCTGATCCGCATCGGAGCTTCATTCCCACACTGGCAGCGGATCCTCGATGCCCAGTTCGCCGAGGCAGCGCAGCGTCCGCATCCCCATGTTGGCCGCCTCGGCCCGCGGAACACCGCAGGATGAGGTGGGGAAGGCGCCATGGCGGCGGCGCCTTGGTCGTTGGTTACTCGTCTGCCTCCGGATGGAGGCGAAATCGTATACAAGCCAAAAGGCTCGCTGCAGCGTCGCCGTTCTGAATCCAGCTGCAGCAAGCGCAAACCTGCGCCAGAACGGCTAGGAGGAGGAGGAGGAGGAGGAGGAGGAGGAGGGAGGAGGAGGAGGAGGAGGAGGAAGAGGAGAGGAGGAGGAGCAGGAGGAGGAGGAGGAGGAGGAGGAGGAGGAGGAGGAGGAGGAAGAGGGGGGGGAGGAGGAGGAGGGGGAGGAGGAGGGAGGGGGAGGGGGAGGGGGAGGGGGAGGGGGAGGGGAGTGGAGGAGGGAGGAGGAGGAGGAGGAGGAGGAGGAGGAGGAGGAGGAGGAGGAGGAGGAGGAGGAGGAGATGGAGGAGGAGGAGGAGGAGGAGGAGGAGGAGGAGGAGGAGGAGGAGGGAGGAGGAGGAGGAGGAGGAGGAGGGGAGGAGGAGGAGGAGGACGAGGAGGAGGAGGAGGAGCAGGAGGAGGAGGAGGCCGCTGAGCCGAGAGGCGCCCGCGGCGGGCCAGCGGCGCATTCCGCGGGCGTGGTGGCGCTGCTGGGGGCCGCCGCCCCGGTGCTCGGCGGGGGCCTCGGCGGTGTGCCGCCGCCGGCGGGGGCGCGATGTTCGATCGGGGCTCGATCGGGGAGGAGGAAAGCTCAGTGGGCCCGTGGAGGAGGAGGGGGAGGAGGAGGAGGAGGAGGAGGAGGAGGAGGAGGAGGAGGAGGAGGAGGAAGAGGAGGAGGAGGAGGAGGAGGAGGAGGAGGAGGAGAGGAGGAGGAGAGGGAGGAGGGGAGGAGGAGGAGGAGGAGGAGGAAGAGGAAGAGGAGCACCTCGCGTGGTGAGCAGACGTGGCCTGCGGGGACATCTGGGGCTTACTGGGCCCTGGAAACGACAGGGCCGTTTTTTCACCGGTGCCGTTTTGCCGTTTCTGTTGCCGGTTCCGACGCCGTTTTCTTACCGGTTCCGTTTCGCCGTTCTTTGTTACCGGTTCCGGCGCCGGTTCCAATCCTGCAGCCGTTTTCTTGCCGTTCCCGGTCGCCTTTTTTTTGCCGTTTTCATTTTCAAGAGCAATTTTCTGGGAAACGGTGAAAGAACGGCCCTGCCGTTTCCAGGGCCCACTAAGGGAACAAGTCGTCGTTTTCGTATTCTTTGTTTTGCCGATCGGCGCGGGCCCTCGCGCCCCCCTTCCCCCCCGAACGGAGTAGATCTTGGCTGTTTTGTTGCTCATGTTTCGAGCAGGGGGGGGTGTCTCCCCCATGGACGCGCTTCTGCAAGCAGTCGCATTCAGCAGAGGTCCGGAGCCAGACACCCCCCCTCTCCCCCCTTTCGCCCAATGCCGAAACGCCGAACCATCGGGGCTCGATCGTTTTAAACATACACTTTCGGCGCTCCGCGCGGATTTCTTGGATCTGCGTTAGGAGTTATGTTTATGCCGCGCGCGCCGAAAGTGTATGTTTGTGACGTTTTTTCTTCTTCTCTTCGAGGGGCGGGGGTCAAAGCAAACGGAGACCAGCCAGAGCGCTGGATCTTGCAGGATCCTGCAGGGCCAGGGGTGCACTGACCCGGTCTAGCGGGCAGGATCTTGCAGGATCTTGCAAAGCTGGTTTTTTTTTGGTTGGATGGACCGGGGTCGGTAGATCTCCGATTTGATGTCTTTCCATGGTGTCGGTCCAATTGGGTACGGAAAGACAGGGTACGAAGACTCACACCATGTCCTGTTCAGTTTGAGCAGGACTCGTTGTGGCTGTGGCCGCGGCCGCGGACGTTGTCCATTTCATACAGAAGGCCGCCTGCCCAACAGCCTCACAGCGGCTGCTACCAGTTTCGGGTCTCATGTGTCGGTGAGCGTCGTACCCAGTTTTTCTGTACTCATTTCAGGCGTTCACGTAGGAGTCTTTGGCGGCGACGTTGAAAACTGTTATTCTTGCATCCGGACCGCGTCTGGAACGCACTGGGCCCCTCCTGCTGCTCCTCGCCCCTCCTGTTCCTCCTCCCCCCTTGTTCTTCTCACTTCTTTTTTGAAGCGGCGGATCTGGTCCAAATCCTGTCCAAATCCTGCCCCAGATGAGCGACGCAAACACACGGAGCCGTCTGCGCCGACGGATGTGCGGGTCTGGATTGGCCCGGGTCATGGTCTGCATTGGCCGACGGATACGGCCTGACTGGCCTGAGTCTGGATTGGCCCGGGTCAACTCAGGAGGGGAAAAAACACACAGACACAATTAATCGTCGATTTCCCAGAAAATATGGGAAAATATGGGAAGTGGTGGGGACGACAAAAACATAGAAAATATAGGAAAATATGGGGAATCTTTTTATTTGTGTGTATTTATTTGTGTGTCCCAGTTTCCCTTCATCAACAGATCCACGAAGCCGATTCGCGAGCCCCCCTGTGGCCCTCCCCCTCGCACCCCTCGAGGGCCTCGGGGGAGCCCTTTACCTGCGGTTCGTGGCGTGTCCCCTCATCGCGGGCGAGTTTCGGGCGATCGCAAGCATGGATCAAGGGGGCGTGGATTAGCGACGGGTGCCGTTTCCATGGGAAGTCGCGGAGTTCCGCCGCCGAGCGAGGCGGCACCGGCCGCATTCTGGGGAGGGCAGCTCCAGCGATCCATGGATTTGGCGACCGCGCGCCAGATCCATGTTTGCGCGCCCCCGAGAGTTCCAGGGGCAGCGCCGCACGGGGATAGGCTGCCAGATCTGGGGCGATGAGCTGGCATGATCTCTTGAAACTGGGCGTTTCTCCTCGGGCCCTGGGGCCATCGACCCTGGCATTTGGGGCGGAGCCGTCTTCGCCCCGGATCGCTGTGTTGTGCCGCGTTCTGCGGAGGGCGCGGAGTGAGGAGCCCTGTTCAGGGGAGCAAGAAGTGGCATACACAGAAACTCGGAGGTCCGCGCGGATTTCTCGGATCGGCGCTGGGCCCCCCTCCCTGGCGCACGGAGCGCGCCAGGGGCGGCGCCGGAGGCGCCGCCAGGGGGCGCCCAGCGCCGATCCGAGAAATCCGCGCGGACCTCCGAGTTTTTATGCTTATGTAACTTTTTGTTCCCCTCGTGTGATGCGTGCTGCGCCGCAGTAGGGGGCGAAGCGTGGCTCCTCATGGCTGTTTCTGTCATTCTTGTTTCCCTAACCTTTTTTTTTTTGTTTTTTTTTTTTTTTATGGGAGACGCGGGTGCGCCCGCCCGACGCGGCGGCCGTCGTCGGAGAGGGTGGGGCGCGTCGGGGGGGCTCCGCGCAGGCGGCCGCCCCGGGGGCCCACCCCGCCCCCCAGGGCGGGGTGCTGGGGGTGGGGGCTGGTCGCTCGCTTCTCAGAGACTGCAGTCAGCCCGCTGTCTTATGTGCGTGTTCTCCACAATCTGATTGCCATCCGTACACCCTGCGAAATGCTTTAGAAATCATGGGTTGAGAAATTGATAGTCTCAGAATTTAAATAAAAACCCAGAATGCCCATTCAAATCTTAGGATTTACATTGAAACATTAAGAATAATCGAGACTCTGGCCGAAAACTTAGGTTTTCTTAAGCATCGCCTAAGGTGTACTTGTGCAAACATGTTTGTACGCTGTATACGTGTACAGTGTGCAGTATTATTGGTTCTAGCCGTTTTCGCTACATCGTCACATGAGCGGCTGGCCGGCGAGTGCACAGGTCATAGTTGCATTCGTCACGCATCCTGTCATTGTCCGTGGTAGTCTCACTATATGCTGAATGTGTGTTCACTGTTATTTGCATTTGTTGGGCGCTTCGGCCCCACCCTGCAGCACCCTCGCGGTGCATGAAGCAGGCCGAGTCCGAGTTCGAGTACAGTCAGCCCGCACAGTAACGATGGTAGGGAAACAATGTAGCCAGAGTGCAGCATCCCCAAACAGGGTTTTTACACCCACTGCGGTTTCCAAGGTCGAGCGCGTGCCCGTCCAGTGCGGGCCGGCATGGCATGTTAGAACATGCCTCCTCCTCCTCCTCCTCCTCCTCCTCCTCCTCCACCTCCTCTTCATCCCGAACGGCATCTCGGAGCCCAGAGTTCGCTTCTCAGAGACTACAGTTAGCCCGCATAGTAACGATGGCAGGGGAACAAAAAGTGGCATCAACATAAAAACTCTCGGAGGTCCGCGCGGACCTCCGAGTTTTTTTTGCTTGTGCCACTTTTGTTCCCCTAAGTCAGTCCGCATAGTAACGATGGTCGGGGAGCAAAAAGTGACATCTGTGATATGGGAGATAATCGCTGGATATCTTTGACTCGCGCGGCGAGGGGCGTAGCTCTAAGGCCAAGGGCCCTAGTTCGAAATAAAAATGGCAGCGGCGAGCAAGGAATGAAACCACAGGCCCCTCGAGGCTTCTGGGGGAAACCCTCTCGGGCCTCTTACATTCCTGGGGAGTGAGCTTGATTCACACTCCTCCTAGTCGCCGTCGGCGCAGACCCTCTGTCGGGCGCCTGAGCGGGGACTATAACAAGTCACTCGCAAAAGCTTCATTACAAACGGAACAGATTATCTTGATAATCTATCGCAAGCAAACGGCTCGCACGGCATGCTAGCAGGCTGCCCTCTGGGGCGATTTGACGGGTGCTGCTTCACGCACCTGCCGAAATATAAATTCTCGGCGCAACGGGCACTCGGTTAGGATCTTATTGCTTAGTAGTAAGATGAAACCCTTGGTAGCAGAGCAATCTGGCTGGTGATCGTCATCACCATAAAACAGAGTACACACAGAGGCTGATCAGGCCAGGCGTTATGAAACATACAGGCTGCGAGAGAAAGCAGGGTCCGGGTGGTGGCGAAAACACACTTAATGCGGACTAACGTGAGCGGCTGGCAAGCAGCGTCTGGGTGGCGGCGAAAGCAAACGAAATGCGGATAACCGTAAGCGGCTGCTGGCAGCAGCGTCCAGGTAGCGGCAGAGAAAACTGAACGGGGATAAACGTGAGCGGCTGCTGGCAGCAGCGTCCAAACAGCGGCAAAGCAAACTGAATGCGGGAAGCGCATTCACGTGGACTTTTTCGTCCCCTTCTCCGGCGTCGTTCGGCTCGGCGCGTCGGATCCCATCATCTGAGCCCATTGATTCTGGAGCTCATGCTTCAGCGAGTGGTACATGCGCGAGAAATCGGGCTGATGCACTCTGTGGTTCCGGCGAAGCCACGACGAGTGGCGCCTGCAAGTCCTGCAGGTCGCGTAAACGCTGTGCGGTTTATATCCTACGCGAATGTTGTGCCCTGCCACGGCACACTCGTTGATCTCCATCGGCGAAACCGTCGGCGTGGAGTTATTCCAGGACACGATGTTTGCCGATGATGAGCTGGATATCGTCATGGGCGTGCTCGGTGACGATGATGGGGCGAAGCTGTCCTGCGGCGATGCCGGCGCGGGAGCAGTTGAAGGCCTCGGAGCCGGACCTGCGTTCTCTGTCGATGAGCTGCTCTGGGCCGCGGCAGCAGCAACGATCTCCTGGGTGTCGGGCATGAGGATGTCTCCGTCGGCGTCCTCTTCCTCTGGAATCGCGGGCTGCACGTGGTTCCGCCTCCCGAGACGTCTCCCGTCCCAGCCTGGGTGGCGATCGCCCTCGGCCTTGCCCTCCTGCGGCGATGGCTTC